CAGGTTCTACTTAATCATTCCTTACAGAATTCTGTTCTTTCTGTTCCTAGTAATGCCATTGGTTAGAGAGGAGATGGCTTGACTACAGTGTTTGGACTGGAGGGTGTCTGCCAGCATTGATTGCAAGTGGTAAAAGCAAAGAGTATGCAAAATTTGCATTCCCTCTCCAGAATTGGTGGACTATTCTTGCATCTATTTTCCAGTGTGTATTGTAAATATTGGGGAAGCTCACTGAGCTCCTAAATTGATTCTTTGGGGTTCAAATTGATGTTTTGGGGAATTTAGTAATTATTCACACCAAGAAATAATGACTTTCAAATACATAAATATTAAAATGAAATATATATAAAAAAAAAGCCACCAACGTGGCTGAAGAAATATCATCGTTACCTATTAACAATCTTTGCAGCCAATTGGAGGTGTTGTGTCCCACTTTGCAATATGCTACACTGTTGTAATTTATTGCTTTATACAGTATTATAGAATAATGGTATCTGTTGCTAGCAGGTGTGTGTGTGTGTGTGTGTGTGTGTGTGGGGGGGGGGGGGGTGCTGCCACAGAAGCTTGTTTATTTTGTACCTTTGGTGTGTTCCTCTCTTTCCCCATCTTGCAGAGACAAGGCTTAGGAAAATCCATTTTTTCTTACACTTCATAAGACCGGAAAAACATCCTCTGTACTGTACTTATCTGAAGTAAACCATAGTAGATTTAGCTTCGGCATCTTGTTGCTGAAGAAATAAAGTGGTATTAAACCCAAAACAAAAAAAATTACATTACAGCTTAGGAATTCTTAGTATTAGATGTATTAGTTGTCTTTTGTATTTCTTTTTTTCTTTCTTTTCACCCAGTAAGTTTATTATTTTTTCAACTTCCTTTAACATACCAAGCTGTCCAGCAAAAGTGGCAGTTAGAGCGTTGAGAAAAAACACTTAAGACAGACTGACAGTGATGTTGACTATGATAAACATATATTCATTTATGTAAAACCTTTATCCCAAAAAGGAAAAAAAAAAACAGTTGCTGTAACTGCTTAAAAAGTGTTACCTAGAGTTCAGCTTCAATTTGTTATTTAACACCCAGATCACATCGGATGCGATTTGCATGCCCTGTGACTTGCAAATTGCATGCCAAGTCACACCCTATTGTTCACAATTGGAGCGGTCATATCAGTGCAGTTCTGACTTGGTCGGAGCCACACCGATTTTAAAAGTAGTACATGCACTACTTTTGGTGCGATTTGCATAGACATCTGTATCAGATGTCTTGCAAATCGCACCTGAAATTGGTGGTTCACCCGACTTTGGAATCGTGTGACTTCACTGTAAGTCGCATTATTTCAAAGTCGACTTGATGTGACCGGGGGTAAGTCCATCTAGATCTGCTTGTGCATCTAATACTGCCCTGTCCTCAGATTGACAAAAGGTGTATTTGTTGATCCTCCATGGAGGGTGGAGACATCCTAATGCCCCACACACACGATAAGAATGTCAGACAAATGATCATCTTTTCTTTTGCATGCTAGTCTCCATATTGAAAGTGAAAAGGGTACTAAACTTACAAAAATTCTTGTACAAAAGAAAAAAAAAATCAAAAGTGAAGTAATGTATTGTATTGTATTTGTATTGTATTTTCGGACGACTACTGTACTGATTAAATGAAAATTGTACGATCTGGGATCGTACAAGAAACATTTTTGCGCTTGTCCCTTTGGATATTGTCTCATGAATTGTCGTGATCAGCTCTCGAAAAGCTATGTAGTAACGTTCACATTGTCGGACGATCGGTCCTCGTATGAAAATTTGCGTATGATTTTCTTATTGTGTGTATGGGCCTTTAGAGGGGAAGTGCGTTGCAGGCCAGATCACCAGGTGAAAATAAAGAAAAAGCCTAAAAATTAAAAACGAATGCAGTTGCCATATTGAAGTCTTGGTAAGCTGAAAAATAGTACATTTTTGTTTTTGGGTTTAACCTCCTTGGCGGTATGATTCTTTCCGATTTTTTGTGCTGAAAGCGGTACCATTTTTTTGCATGGAAATATGTAGTTTTTTATTGTAGGCTGTAATTTTTAGGAATAACTCACTGAAATCTGTACAAACAAGAGTCTATTAAACATTCCGGATAGGATAAAATTTGAAACACGAAATCATAAATTATAATTTAATAAATAATCATAAAAATAATAATATAATAATAATAAATTTAATTCAATAATATAATCAAACCAAAAACACTGAAATTTGAATTACAGAGGCAAATTCGCACATCGCTGAGCAAAGTCGCAAAATCGTTTTCAGTGTCTGATGACGAATTTCCCCACGAATCATTATCACTCAATTCTGCAAGTGGTTCTGATTTACTATCGCTGCTCTAAAACCGCTTTTGACGTAAAGGTACGCTTCTTGGACGCCATGGACTTTTCTAAGTTTCCAGGCAGAAAGAACAGTCAAAATGCAGGCAGGGCAGGCAGGACAAAGCAGTAGGGACAAAATATATGTGAAATGCATTGAAATAGCAATGACAGCAAAAAATGAAATTTTTTAAAAATTCTAATTTCCCGCCGGTTCCGGCGCCCGTATGTCCCGACGTCACAGGGACCGGAACACAGAAGCCGGATGCCGGCATCGGCCGGAGGAGATGGCCGGGGACGCTGCAGGGGACACATCGCGGGAGCGAAGGACAAGGTAAGTGCTGCAGGTACCCCCAGAGCAACGCCGTATGGTAAGCCCGAGTGTAGCTCGGGGTTACCGCTCTTGGTATAGAAATTTTACCCCGAGCTACACTCGGGATTACCGCTAAGGAGGTTAAGCGCTGAGCAAACTGTTGGTGCTATATTAATCCTGTATGATATAATAATAATACCACTTTAATTTGTTTGCTAAATTAGAAGGCAACCACACTATTGGCACAGAATAGGTCTAGGAGGTATGTCATGGCATAAAGCATTACAACAGGAGGCCTCTGTCATTAGAACTGATAAGATCAGCATATCTGCCTGTGAATCTAGGTGGTGATTTTGCTAGAAAGCACAAGACATAATTAACTGATAGAAATGTTACTTTATACTCCAAATCTTTCTTCTTGACAATATAATAACACAAAGGTCATTCCATACTCTGCTTATATCAAGGTGATGCATGGTCCTGAAGAACTCTGCCTATAAGAATGGAGACATAAGCAAAGTCAAACATTAGTAGTCAGGCATGTCAGCACACAACTCCTGTAAAGGTATACCATCAGCAAAAAAAACACATTTAACCATCACAGACAGGTTAAAGTACTTGAAAGCTGCAAATATTTCTCCTTTCCATTTCCTGCCTCCTGCTGCAGCCATTATTATCCCCCTTAGCTTAAAGTGATATAAAAGTCCTCAGACTTTATAAGCACTTTCAGTAGCTGATATAATGAGTTACTAAGTATACATCTTCTTTATCTTTAATGCTTGCCTATGTTCCAGTTTAACCTCTTCAATACCGGGCACTCCACTTTTACCCCTTTCCTGCCCAGGCCAATTTTCAGCTTTCATCTCTGTTGCACTGTGAATGACTATTGTGCGGTCATGCAACACTGTACCTACTAAAGTTTTATAATTTTGTTCACACAAATAGGGCTGCCTTTTGGCGGCATTTGAATACCACTGGGTTTTTTATTTCTTGCTAAATAAATTAAAAAGACAGAAAAGTATGAGTTTTTTTCATTTCTGTTATAAAAGTTTGCAAATAAATAATTGTTCTTCATAAATTTAGGCCAAAATGTATTCTGCTACATTTATTTGGTTAAAATAACCCAAAGCAGTGTAAATTGTTTAGTCTGTAGGAAAGTTATAGAGTCCACAAACCACAGTATACAGTATATCTGAAAACTGATCAATCCTGTTGTACTGACAGCCAGTCTAATTTCCTGAGGCCCAAAAATGTCAGGACAGTATGGATATCCCCCAAATTACCCCTTTTTGGAAAGTAGACAGTCTGAGGTATTTAGTAAGAGGCATGGTGAGTTTTTTTGAAGTTGTAATTTTTTGTCACAATTTTTTTGAAAACAAAGAAATTAAAAAAAGTTTTCACCATGTTTTATTACATACTGTCACTAGTGCAGTACAGCGTCACCATATATCTGGTGCGGTGGGGATCAGGGACACTGACTGGTGACAGTACAGAAAAAAAAATACAGATTTTGTTTAAACTTTTTTCTTTTTTTTTTTTTTTTATGGGTTTTATTAAAAAATTTTTTTTATGATTTTTTTTTAATAATACACTGTGATCAGAGTAATATAATGTTACCATAGTAATATTGTACTGCTCTGGGGACGTGATCTTTTTTTTTTTTTTTTACACATTATGCTATAAGCCAACATTTTACTGAATGACATCGATTCATTCAGTTTGTTTTGTTGTGATTAGCTGTGATTGGTCACAGCTAATCACATGATACAAATGGGCTGTGACTGGTCCAGTCTGTAAAATGTGATCACTGTGACCAATCACAGCTAGCAACACAATTGTATACAATGGATGGCATGAAATGAAGCCATCCAAGGGTCTGTTGACCTTTTATGCGGGAACAATCATATGTCTGAGATTACTGTTTGGGGCTCTGCTCACTCCTCAAGGTATAAACAAGCTCATTTTTACAACCTGAACATGTCTATCCCATGGTCTTTTCTATAAAATATCTCTGGGCAGTTGCATGGTACCTGAAAGTTTCACTGTTAATTTATTTCCATGGGGAGTTTTAAGGGCATCTATAATGGTTTCTATTTAATTTAAATTCAAATTTGTATTTGAATATTTACAACCTTACAAGCTTATCTTTTTATATTTCTGAGTGTTTTTACAACATTGTAGTTTTTCATATAAACTTACTAAGAGACAGAAGTTGAATCCAATGAGTTTTTACTTCAGTTAATTGTAGTACAGAATTTTTTTTTTCTTTTAAAGTGTGAGAAGACAATGACTTTCCTAAGCCCTTTCTATGCAAAGTAGTAACACTGATAAAGGGAAGATAGAAAAAACAAGGAGGATCAAGCTAGGACTGATCTAACAAGCACTATACAGGATGGGAGAACAGAGGGAGATACCAAATCACATAAGTAAACTAGACGTCAGCATACTACAAAACAATAAAAACCTGATGCAGTTCAGTATACAAAAAAAACATAATGTGGGACAGACCTCTAAAATATAAGTTGATTGATATGTATCGCCAAAGACAGCTTATCCAGGAGAATAATATGTCCCACCAAGAGGTGTAATCGTACTTTAGAGCTTAGGCTAGAAACCGGCAATGGAAGAGACAGCAGTCAAGTTAGAAAGTCTGTGGTGGATACTAGAAAAACCAATGGAAGAGAGACTGCAGAAACATCCCAAACTAGAACAGAAATTGGGTATTGAATCTGTGTGTAGGATGACTCAGTACCCCCACTAAACTGCCCTCTGTGTTCCACCAGCTGGTAAAGGAGCAGTAGGAAAGCCAATAATTTTGCTGAGTTGAATATTGAGTTACAGCATAAGGGTATTTAAGTGAGTATTTTTTCATACATTTCAGCGGCTGGGTAAAATAAAAATGCCTGGTGATGAATGCAGAGATGATGGGGTTGAGTTAGAAGACTTACAATGAGGTTGAAGCCTATGCTTGGCTTTATTCTCTGTGGCTCCATGCTAACCCACTTCCCTGGTTGATGTGCTAGGGTATATTTCTGAAACCCCTTGTCAGACTTCCATCCCTATTGCCTGAGGCCACAGATGTTGGAGCGGATGCAGATGGGAATTTTTGTGGAGTTAGGGGAGGGGTCAAAAGGGGCGAGTGAGGAGGAGGAATGTGGGTATTTGCTGCCAATTGCCCACATGGAAGAAAAAATATATTTGAAATATATTTTAAAAATATTCTTCCAAATATATTGACATATATTTGAAATGCTACAATTTTGGCCATATTCAATATATTTCAAAATATATATATATATACTGCATGTTGAATTGCGTTTTATTACAAAATATATGAAAAATATTTTTAAAAAATACATTTCAAATATACTGTATGTCTTTAAAAAATACAAATCTACATTTGTGGAATGCATTTACAAATATATGTAAAAATATATGTTAAAATTACTTTTTTATATGTTTAAAAAAATCTGAAAAATATATTTTTCATATATTTTGTAATATGTTAAAATCACATTTCAACATGCAGTGTATATATGTATATAAAATTATATATATATATATATATATATATATATATATATATATATATATATATACACAGTATATACACATATATTGAAATATATTGAATATGGCCATTTCAAACATATGTCAATATATTTAGGAAGAATATTTTTAAAATATATTTCAAATATATTTTTCTTCCGTATGGGTGATTTAATTAATATGCTGCTCACACTGAACTTGCTGAACAATCATGTGTCTCCTCAAGCATATGGTACCAAAACGACTTGTAAATTTACCATGATTGATACACTGCAGGCAGAGGCTGCAGACCTCTATGGTGTTAAAAAAGCTCAGACTGCTGAGGACTGCACCACAGGCCTGGGGGTAGGAGTTCCCTACAAATGTGAGCAGTGCCATCTGGTGGATAAGGGCAGTTGCTACCTCCACTCCTCTGCAAACTGCTCCTAGATGACATCTTGCCTCACTGATGATATGCCTCCTACTACTCTCAACTTGCTACTCTACAATCTCTGGCTCCCAGGTATAATCTTGGCACCTCATCATTCCCAGCCTCCTCATCACTCAAGAGCACTTTATATTAAGCTGCAGCTGCAGGAATATCTATGCCAGTTGCTTCTCCCTGGCTGTTGTCACCTTATTCTATGGTCCTTGTGCTCTCTCCCGTTACATTAGATGAATCTAAATGAATCCACTTGTATCCTCTTGCAGCAAGTTAGTGAAGCTGTGTTCAAATATTTCAGCTGACTCATCAATGCCAGTTTGCAGGGCAATAGCAGGTATAGCAGTTGAGGAAGAGGAGGGCACTTTTGTAGTTGCTAATGAAACTGAGCTGCTTTGAACTTGGGAGAAGGAGGATGAGGAAGTCTTGGTCATCCACTTCACCACCAGCTCCACATACTCTTTCTTCATAGCACACCAACTGCTGGGGGGAGGCAGATGTGGCCTGCCTCTCAAAGTTGTGTCCCAACCACCCCTTTGTCTTGTGGATGCATAACCTGCCTGCTTGTTCCTTATTATCTGCACATTAGGAGCCTATGCCCCTCCCCTCATGTTTTCCAGAAATGATGAATATATGGGATTGCCTAACTTTTTACCAGCCATGGCAATAGCGGGATTGAGAGTGTGGTGCTTTTGGCTGGGTTCACACAGATGCGGTGCAGAATTTGCAGCTTTTTCTGTGCGAGTTCCGCACCGCATCAGAATCGCACCCTGTTCATGTGAACCGCATCAGAATCGCACTCCGTTCATGTGAACCGCTGCGGGTGTTTATGTTAACAACACCCCAAAATCTGTCCACAAAGCACGGTGCGCTGTGCAGAATCGGATCACATAGGTGTGAATACCCATGCGATCTGATTCTAGTGCAGACCAAAAAAAGGTCCTGCACCTTTTTGGTGCGGGTGCTGTGCGATTAGAGCCATACAAAATGTATGGCTCCAATCGCACCGCACACAATTCGCATGTGATTTGCACAGGACTACAGTGCGGTTCCTGTGCAAATTACATGCGATGTACCGAGCCATATATATATGAACCTGGACTCAGTGCTGACACATGTACATGTGTGGTGCAGATTGAAGCTCAGGTTTCACATCTAATTGACACAGTAGCTGTTCAGCTGTTCAGGTCAGGTTTACATCAGGTTCAGGTTAAAGAAACAAAAAATCAGCGCATACAGACTAATGTCAAGGGGCACAAAATTAACATTCATTTATCCTGTTAACACATGTCAGGTTTAGAAATGGTTCCCATAGAAGTCAATAGCCTGTTATCCACACCTGAACTGGACCGCACTGCTCAGAAAATGTACATGACTCTTTTTTAAACAACACTGAATCCGCACCACCAGTGCACCGGACATACTGTATGTGAACAGGCACCGTAGGAATCAGGGGCGGACTGACAACTCATGGGGCCCTGGGCAATAGGGGATTATGGGGCCCCTGTGTCCTTGTCCAAACTCAAAAAAGCCTATGAAAAAGGTACCAGGGGCATCTCATGGGGCCCCCTACTGATCAGTTTATGGGCGTTGGAGGGCAGATATCTAAAAAAAAAAAAAGAATATGTGGGTATCTAACACAATACAACCCTGAGCACCTCCAGATTTGTTTTTCATAATACAATGCAATTTTTAGAGCCTGATGTACCTATTAGAAGGGGTGGCGGTGTAGTAGCTATCTGTGTACCCATTATTGCTGGTCGCCTGGCAGTGCTGAAGAGGTGGGTAACATGACAAAAAATATTATGGCTTATCCTGTCAGCTAAAACTTGGCACAATGCAGTCAGTCAAGCATTGTTCTCCTGGCAACTGCCAAACCCAGACACGTCCATCAGATTACCAGGCAGAAGTTTGGAGGTCTTTAGCTATTGACTGCAGTCGGCGACTTCTGCGCACTCTGTCATTTTACGTGGCCTACCACTTCGTGGTTGAGTTGCTGTTGTTTCCATTTGCTTCCACTTTGTTATAATACCACTAACACTGATCGTGGAATATTTAGTAGCAAAGAAATTTCACAGATGGACTTATTGCACATGTAGCAACCTATCACGGTACCATGTTTGAATTCACGGAGCTCCTGAGAGCGACCCATTCTTTCACAAATGTTTATAGAAGCAGTCTGCATGCCTAAGTGAGGTGATTGGAACACCTGAATCCAATGATTTGGAGTGGGGGCAGCACATTGGCTCAATGGTTAGCACTTCTGCCTGGCATTGCTAGGGTCATTGGTTCGAATCCCAGCCATGGCATCTCCTGCCTGGAGTTTGCATGTTCTCTTTGTGCCTGCGGGTACTCCGGTTTCCTCCCACACTCCAAAGACATGTTGGTAGGTGAATTGGATCCTGTATAAATTGTCCCTAGTATGTGTATATATGAATGTAAGCTAGGGACCTTAGATTGTACACCCCTTGAGGGTTTGGGACTGATGTGAATGTATAATATATATGTAAAGCGCTGCATAAATTGATGGCGCTATATAATACCTAAAATAAATAAATAAATACATTTGGAGGGGTGTCTCTATACTTTTGGCAATATAGTGTATTTTTAAGAAGCCATTTTCTTTGTCCAAAGAAACTTTTGCCTATCATTAAAATCACTTATTACCAGCATTGCTAAACAGGGAAAGAATTTAAATGTATGTTCAAATGATCAACTCATTTCACTTTTAAATTATGATATAAAGATTTTAGGTTGGTTAATAATATAATACAGGTACAATAAGCTTAAGAAAATAAAGCAAAACTGTTAACCAAAAATGTTTCCCCTCTGCTAAACACTTTAATAAATCCAGATCAAGAAGGTTTTGTCAAATAGGGAGAAGTGAATGATAACTTTCAAACACTTCAGCTCCAGGCCATTTCTAGTACTTTTTGTCTACATGCTAAAACCAGTATTTTTTGCTAGAAAATATTTTGAATGCTTTCAGGTTTTTAAGAATGGTGACGTTTAGTTCCGACTAAACCAAAAGTGATGTCAGGTCATCGATTCTGGTTTACTATAAGGGAGAGCTGATCAAAGCCGATTTTGGCTTTGTTCATCTGTCCGGCCAGCCAGAGGATGTGTCGGCCGGTTTGCTTAGCACTCCCAGTGGGACTGGTGATCCTGAGAGAGCAGAAGAAGAAGGCAGGAGGGGGGGACGTTCCCTCCCACTGCTTGTACAAGCAATTGAGTGGCCAGTTAGCCACTTGGATTGCTTGTACAAGAGAATCAACCACTGGCTCTAAAAAAAAACGTACCTACAGCTGCAGGCATCACTCTGGAATAACCACCTGAAGTTCAGCAACGTAATGGTGCATCACTGGTCCAGAAGTATTTTTAAGGTAATATTAAAATCTTAAGGTTTATTGATTTTTACCTGTGTTGATAAAACTAAGTTTCAATCCTAGAGCAACCAAGTTTCTGGTATTTTATTGGCTGGTATTGGTTGGTAAAAACGGAACTGGACAATGGTCAGTCTTTAAAAAGAAAATATATAAGAACATATATTACAGGTTTAGTTA